TCAGAAGCAGACCAACAGCGACTCCTTCAGTTCTGCATCAAGAACTTTGGCATTGACAACTTTGTAAGTTTCAAACTATTTTGTTTTGGTCTAGTATGCTACGAATAATTATCAGTAAGGAGAAGTTTTTTTTTACGAAATTCCTTTGCGAATTTGAACACTAGAAGTCAGAATAAAATTTTTCATTTTTCCTTGCGGCTCCACCCCTTTCGATTTGATTAGTTGCAGGCTAATTTTTCCCCGAAGTTTACCTTCAAACAAGATAGATGATAAATCAAAGTTTCCAAGCGCTGTTAGGCTTAAGTTGACTGCTCTTTTACCCGCATAGGGGATATCTTGTGAACGAATGCAAGCCATAGAAATGCTTTTTTTTTGTTGAGCTTATCCCTATCTTTGAGAATCTTTACAATTTTGTTTGCGCACTTTAAGGGCTCTGTTTTTGTTCTTGACTATATACACTTGTTCCTCACCTATCGATTCTATCGATATTATCGCGCTCATCTTTTTATGTACAGTCTCGGTTTTTCATGATTCTTGTGATGGATGATACGAGATTTTGATGTCAGAAAATTTTCCTTAACAGATTTATTAACGTCCGTATATGTAATTTTACCCAATAATTTTTTCGCAGTGTCAGGACATGATTCCGCCTGAGTTGGCTGGCTCTGATGAAACGATGCGATGTTTTACTGCTACACTCAACGCAATCATGCAGAAACGACTTGAAATCATCAGTGATGTGAGTATCGCACATTGTATTTGAGAAAGAGTTTAAATCGTTGAATTTTACTTCAGGATCATGGAACATGTTGTCTGGCCTCAGGGCTTTGCACTGTTCATTCGAATCGTATCTACAAGGCTGCGGAGAGTTTTGTGAAAGTTGTTGAACAGATGTTTGAATCTGAGGTAATATTGAATCTGAAGTTTTTTTCCAGTTAAAAATATTCTTTAGATTCTTACTGCAACTTTTGCAAAAATGAGCTTTATGAGCAATGTGTCCAGTGAAGATGTTCCGAAGAAAATATCCAAGGCAGCAGCAGTTGCAAACGGTGGAAAATCTGCAGGTGTGGGCTAGCTTAG